GCCTTACTACTAATATATTTTTTAACAATAACTCTGAAATATTGAATGATTTGATTTCTAATATTTTTTAATTCATTTTGATAATATTGATTTAATGAATTTAAGTCATCTTCATTTCTCATAAATGCAATATTTTGAATTGAGAACAAGAAAAAAAAAATAATAACACAATAATATAATTTATTATTTCTTTAGATACTTCAAAATAATAAATGAAAATTATCACAAAAAAGAATTAAATTTTTTGTGCGATCTTCTCTCCGAAATCATATGCTTTTTTCATTTTATTAGTGTCTTTAGCAATTGAAGTATTATCAGAACCACCAGTTAAATGCATCTCATTAAAAGAATATCCAAACAAACTAGCAATTTCTTTAATTTCAAAAACTCCACGGTCATAACCAGAAGAGCCACATGTAGTTAAAGCAACAATAGTCTTTTTTCCTTTGTCAAGAACTTCTTGTTTTGCAGAATAAGTATTCCAGTCCATCATCATAACAGTTCTATCAATAAATAATTTCAATTGACCTGGCATAGCATACCAATAAATAGGAAAGGCAAATATTACTAAATCAGCCTCTACAAATTCTTTCATTATTTCACTGCATTTATCATTTTGTGAACAATATACTTCTTTATGATTTTTACATGCGAGACATCCAGTGCATCCATTTAATTGCTCTTTACAAACATTGACAATGTGATTTTCTATTTGTTTCTTTGATGCTAATCCTTTCAAGAAATTTTCTAACATAATTCCTGTGTTTCCTTTTTCAATTGCTGCAGCAAGAAGGTAAGAACTTTTAAAGACATTTGGTTTTGGTGATTATCTGTTTCGTTTTATTCAGTTTAAATAGAGTATTTGTTTTCGTTTATTGTTGAAGTTTTTTATTCGATGTTTTTGATCTTTTTTTTGAAATTTTCTTTTGTTTATTTATATTTCCTTTCATAAGAACAAAACAACTTCATTCTTTGAAATAATTTCTTTATAAATTTGTTCAATTCTTGATTTATTTCTACTTTTTGGTATTTTTATATTTTTTTTCACTTTCTGATATTGATAACAAAAAATAAGGAAATATTTATCATTTCCATTTTATGATTTGTAATGATAGTAAGAATTCACATAACTCATAACCATAGAAACAACCCTTTTTGTT